ATTTTAATACTTTGATAAAAAATGCACGATATAAAACATTTGTGTTTAACTCAATTCAAAAATATATAAAATATAAAATATTGTTTTATATGATACTTAATATTGTTAAACATTATTAAATATTAACTAGCAATATTGTTAAAATATATAAAACAATATTAAATATACATTTTTATTAAAAAATTATATATATAAAGTATTTTATATTATATATAAAAAAAATAGTGTCACTATAAAATGATAAAAGTAAACGAATATAATCTGAGAGTCTTTCTTCATGAAGGTTCGATAAAATTCAGGCGTTTACACTTTAAATTAACGGATACTTAATATATAAAAATTTAATGCGTTCCTAAATTTTAAAAAATAAATATTTTATTATAAATGAAAATGAGCAAAATAAAAAAGAAAATTCCTTTTTTTATCCATTTCGAGATCCTCGAGAATTATATAGAGCTCAGTGTTGTTTGCCAGAGTAGTTTTTCATAATATTTTGTCAGGTTTGTATGCGGAAATACTTTCGTGTTATGGCACTCACTTCAGGCGTCCCGCCTCATCGCCACCCCTCGTCCGAAAATTCCCAAAACCTATGACATTCATCGAACAAAAAGAGATCTCCTGGTAGTCACTCGAGCGATTGTCAGCTCGACACGATCCGAAAATCGGCAGTATCGTCTCTGCACTAAATAGCGCGATTCTAAATCGATTTTAAAATAGTTAAAATTGTCTCGAAACTGTCGTATTTGACAAAAAATAAACTCGAGCGACAACAATCCATCGAGTCGGTGCAAAAACGCCATTCGGTAAAATTCAATTAAATTCGATCTGCGCCTACCTATTCCGATCCAACGCATCTGCAAACGGAGATAAACGCGACCGAAAGAAAAGGGCCAAAAAAAAAAAAAAAGGAGAGATATTTTCGGTAACACGGAAAGGAGCCTCTTGTGGATCGGCCGACTCACTAATTCGACAATCGCCCCAGATCCTGCACCCCTGTGCATTCGGCTCTTTTTTTTTTCAACTGTTTCTCTCTCTCTCGCTCATCCGAATCTCCGTCCTTGTCTCCACGGCGACGACAGGCGGCTGACAGGGTGGAGTGCCGCGCACCATCCTCGTACCCACGTGTGCGTATCCATATCATGTATGCGCGTGTCCTGGGTGACGCCAATATACGGAGCGACATGTGGTCGTATGCGTGCCACTCTTATACTCGTGCCGTGGCACGAAGGGCGCGCGCGCGCACGGGCTCGTTCGCGCGTGCATGCGTGACACCCAGTGTACGCACCGGGATCCGACGGGGCATTCTTCCACTTTTTTATCGCCGCCGAATGCGCGTGTGTATAACCGTGATGACTGTGTGTCGTGAGCTCTCGGGCTGCAGGCACGCGCTACGCGCGCCCGGCGTGCGCGAGCAGGTGAGAGAGCCGAGTGCGATTGCACGCGCGTGCACTCTCGCCTCCGCTCCTCCCTTCCTCTTCTCTCTCCACCCCGCGAAACAACCCCCGGGGGGGGGTTATCGTATAGTCGAATCCGGTTTTGTGGAAAAGAAATAGTGGAAAAGCGGGAGCTCTCCACTGCCTGTGGCCCCCCGAGCGTACCGTTATCATAGCGCACACAAGTCAGTTTTCTTTGTTTATTGAACTCTCTATTGCATTCTTCGCCCTTGACAATCGTGTTTTGCTTCCAACTTATCTTGACAGTAATGTAACGTGTAAGATATATGCATTCGATAAAGAGGACAACAGCGCGGTTAATTCTCGAGATAACGTTAAGTTAGGAAGTACATTACATATATAGGTATAGTACAGTTTGAAAGATAAATTAGCATTTGTGTGAAGGCAAAGGTGAGATGTGATTACGGACTTTAGATTATTAGTTGGACGATATTGATAGAGAAAACGAGATTATGGAACGTATATATATCGAGATACAAGAAGTTTTCTATACATTTGGCATTCTACGGTCGTCATAATCATTCTTTCACAGTCCTTTCAGACGTTGTAACATAGTCACTGGCCATTAGTGTTCACTGCGTCGTAAAAGATGCATTGCTGTTTTGCTAGTAGCAGACAATTTTACAGGTATTTTTTTAATAATTTATTAGTAAATGATTTTAAAAAGAGTACGTTGATACTTTTATAACTTTATAGTTTAACTTGGAGGCTTTAAAATGTGATTTTCAAATGATTGTGAAATAATTCAAACATCACATATGTTGAGACATAAGATGTTAATTTGGGACTTTTTGTGGTTCGGCAAATTTGATTAAACAAATTATATTTGTTCTGTGTACCAAAAGAACTACTATCTAATACAGCATAATGGTACTATACGGTCAATAAACTTCAAAAGTAATTATGTCATTTGAATATCTACAAGTCATTTAAATAAAAAAACAAAGTTATTTTTTTAAATATAAAAAGTTACGACGAAAAGAGATTACGTTTTCCTTCAAGTGTAATAGTTTCGTAAAAACATTACTTAAAAACGTGTGCAATTGAATTAATTTTAATTTTTATAATAAATTAATTTACATCACTATATGTATATATAAATAAATCAATTAAGTAAAGAAAGAGTTAATATAACGAGGCTAAACTTTGGTGATTAATAATATCTTTATATATAAATACTAAATATATCTTTTAATTATATGTATATAAGTTGCGCGCTGATTACTGTCGGATTTGAAATATTACAATCATAAATTGAAACTAAAATAATTACATTATAATTGTTATCACAATTTAAAATAAATATAAAAACAATTAAGTTGATCGTCAATTTGGTAACAATGTTACTGACATCTTAAAAGTCTTAACACTATAAATAACTTATTATAGAACAAGTATTAGTCATCAGTATAAGAAACATATATGGTATGGTATACCTGAAGATAAAATTACAAAGACTGGCTTTATTTTTTAGTTTTTAAGTGTATTTATCGACATTGATAATATTTTGAATGATCAATGTTTATATACATACAATTATTTCAATAAAAACTAATAAATAGTATTAGCCTATAATCTCTATATTATTTCTTTCCTTAAAATTTCACAATATAACCTTACCACACAAACAAACTCGTTTAAAAAATTTATCTTCACACTGTACAATAGAATTGTTTCTTGGTATCCGAAATTTACGAAATCTAGATTTTGACAATTAAAGAAAAGAAGAGAAAGTTATGTCAGCTTTAAAAAGAAAAAATGTAGTCTACATATAAATGCAGATTTATCGTACAAGAGAATAGCAAGCTAAAATGTATATATAATATTTAAAGTAGGAAAAATGTTTTCAGCCTTGAGTTGTAATCTAAATTATAACTAATTTCCAAAATGCGATAAACATTTTTTATCCTAACCAAAGTTCAGCTTAATAAATTATTACCAAGATGTCTGACATGGAAAATTTAAAAAATTACAAGAAATGTTTTTAATAAATAAAAAAAGATTTTAAAATCGCGGTTATTTGTAAAATCGGTTAATCATTATTTACTAGAGGCAGCGATTGTTCATCGATGATTTTACCGATAAAGTTTCCTTCTTTTTTTTCGTCCTCAATTAGAATACTTGTGTATTGTTTATGCGCGTTACATTACTTTTTCGCGCGACCTCGAAGATTCTCTGGACGCGACGTATCGCCGCGCAATTTTCGTATCGACCGCATTTGAAATATTGACAACCGCGGCGAACTTTTGCAAAAAGCTCGGCGGTATACATGCGTGAAACTGTCAATATCGCCAAAGCGAGAGCAGTACATTCAGCAGGCATTAAATAACGAATATAGTATACGCATCCATCGCGGAGTAAAAGCAGTCCTCCCGAGAAAGACGCGAGATCGAAAAGTGAACAGCGCTAATTGTGGTGTAATCACGGAGTGCAAACATCTTCCCCGATTTTCGCAATTTCGCGATTCTAAGAAGAAGCCGCGATCCTACTCTTTGTGCGACTTTCGAATCGAAACGCACCGCCACCGATCTCTCTCGTTTATCTACGTTTCACCCACCTCCCTGAGAGTAGGCGATCTCCCACCTTCTCCTTCACCTCCTTAGGGAAAAAACGCACTCTCCACACGCGCCAACCCCCTACCCTTAAAGATCACGGTCGCAGGTTCACTCTGCTCACCCTGCCCCTCGCCCTCCCTCGCGTTTGCTCTTTCTACGCAATAACATCTCTTTCACCCTCTGCTCTTCTCTTTCCAACCATCTTCTAGGGCGATCATCCCCTCGCACTGTCACGTCGCTCCGTCCTTCCCTTTCATTCTCATTTTGTCTCTCTCTCTCTCTCTCTCTCTCCCCCTCCCTTCCGTCTGCCTCCTCTCTCCCTCTCCCTCCCTCCCTTCGTAATACCTATTTCTTCCTTTTTCTCTCCCTTTTCGTACTCCATCTTCCGTGCACAGACTAACCCGCACGTCCCAGCAACTCGCGCATCCGGGGTTGCTATTCGAGAGGGTAGCGCACCGTGGATGCCTGGTGGGGGGGAACAGTCGTAGTGGGGCGGCGGCAGGGGTGGGGGATGGATGTTTGACTACCAGCGAGCGACTCGGTTGTCACTTAGTATTGGGTTAGGTCAGCCCGAGGTTTACATCGCTCGTTTAGTATAGTGCGATCGTAGTAGAGGATTTTTGGTCGTTCGTCCAGTTATACACTTAATAGGGTAGTAATCAACCGAGAGAACCCCCTGCTCGTGATATACTTGGACAGTACGTCGGTACCTCGACGTACCGATGTATGCCGGATGTGCTGATATTCGCTGAATATCCCTCTCGGGTGCATCTACGAGGGAAACAAACGAGGGAACGACTGACGGCGCGACATTTGTTTTAATCGCGCCATTGATGCAGTTTCGCGTCGCGGCAGCGCACCGCCGTTTCCGCATCTCGCCGCCGCGAGTGATCACGTTGTGCTCCAGAAGAGGAAGAAGAGCGGGCGAAATGTCAAAGTGAGAAACAACCGTATGGGCGATCGTAGCATGGCACTGTCTCGTACGAACGAAGTGCAGATTTACTCAGGTATCTATCCTTTCTCTTTCTTTGGCGGCGTAGAATTGCATAAAGAAAATAGCACTGACTCGAAGCCATGAAAATTGCACGTATCCTTTAGTCACCGTAGAGAAAGGGCTGTACCCTTCTGTTAGAGAAAATTGCAATAAATTTGCGGTATTCGGTGTTTAGAAATGTACACTATTCTCGGTTTTGAACAATACGTTACTTAACGATATTTAGTTTCTCTTCTTTTACCAAGAAGACACATTACTCCTTTCAGTATTTAACTGTTAAACTCTATTTCTTTGCACAAACGGGAGGGGTTCCGGGGGTCTACTAAAATTCCATTTAAAAACTTGTTTCTGGCGAAATTTTGTAAAAAGTCTGTCGTACACATGATTGAAATGCTATTACATCGGCCACACAATTTTTCTTTTTTTTTATTTTCATCCAACAATCTGCCGGATGTCTGGCCTCGAATGAAAGTGAAAATGTAGGTGGTGCGTCGGCGCTTTAATATATATAGAAACAAACAGATAGATAGCGCGAGAAAGGGTGAGAGGAGGGCGGAAGACGGGAAGAGAGAGAACAATTTCGTAGTTTCTTAAGAGTCGTGCGACTTGTTGGCATATCGCCAGAATCTAAAAGCATCTACAACGCACGTACGTTGTGACACATCGTAAACATCGATAGGCTCCGGAGGAGAAACCAAGCTAAATCGCCCGGCGCGAAAGGAGAAGGATAGAGATTGTTGAAAAAAATGAAATCCGTATCGCTAATCACTCGCGAAGCGACGACGACGCGACGCAACGCGACGCGACGCGCGGCGTCTAAAAATAATCACTGCTTCGGAATGCCCGGCACGCTTCTCCTTCTCTCGTAACGATCCCTTTTGTGTCTCCATAATCGCACTCTTAAACCGGTGAGATTCGACCTTTCTAGTCTTAGGTATTTAAATCATCAGATCTAACGGTGGTATTCGAATTCCAATAACTAGACTTGAGGTCTATTTTTTTTTAGCTTATGCACGCACTTTTTGTATAAACAGAAAAACATTATTTTAAGAAAACGCTAAGAAAAGTGATTGCTTAATTTATTTTCTTTGTTTTAAGTTACCTTTAACAAACAATATTTTCTTATTATAGTAATAATTTTAAAATATACTTAACTTTTTTTTAATATTACAAAATTAATCAAAACGACTTTATATGATAAACAAGTTTAATTCCTTTTAATTTAGCAATTTTTTGATTCAAGTATTAAACTAAACTAGTATATATATTCAGAATATATTTTGAATAAGTTTGATGTTTGTGATGTGAACTAATGATAGAGTTGTGGATATGTAACCACTTGAAACACTTCAAACGAATCATTATTTACGTATAGTATTTTTCTGTGGCTACATGGAAAGAATTTTGCTGAAATATTTAAAAATTTAGATAGATATAAATTTAAAAATAATTTTCTTGAATTATGCAAAATAATTAGGTAGGACTTTCGATTATAACGAGCATTGCTACAAAAAGTTTTGGCATTCTAGTAACCAGAGCTTAAACGTCCTATTTTACTGGTTGAATAAAATTATTGTCAGATATGTATGCAGCTAACTTTTCAGATACTTTAATAAATAATTTTTTTCCATGTAAGTGATGAAATAGACATACATTTGGCGTTTGGCAAAAGTAGGAAGGAAAATTCTGCAGCAACGGAAAAGAAATATATTGTAGGATTAAAGACCCTCGTCGTCCAAAACAATACAATATATTTTTAGAAAATATGAAATATGTATAAGCCCTCAAAAAATCTCTACAAGGATTACATTAGATGATTTAAGAAAGGAAATTTTTACGATTTTTACCACATTTGAAAACAATGTTACAGAGAAAAAGATACGATTATGTTAGAAAACTGGTATGATATATAATATTGGCATGCAGGCAGCACATTTTTTCAAATTTTTAACGAGTCAAGGCTGTGCGAAAAAGATGAACCGTAAAAATACGACAACCCGACAATAGAACATCTTATAAAAGGTCTACAAGACCGGGAATAAGAAAAAAAAAAACAACTAACGTAAATTTTGCCGACATTGTAATTTTCGCATTCAAAAAATTAACAACTCGTTATATTTCATTTTTCACCATTTTTGCGACTGGCAAATATTTCGCATACGATATTGTGTCAAATTTTTGTTTACTGCGAAAATTGTCTCTCTTTAGCCGAAATTCATATATAATATAAAAATATACAGATTTCAAAGAAATAAATCTAAATCAAGTGATTAAAGTTAATACGAACTAGATTATTGTGTATAAAAAATGTTTGTATTTATTCTTTTACTAATATTAATAATATTGTGTAATCTTCTGACGTATTTATTTTGTTTAAAATTAATTCAAAAATTTAAGTTGACCGTTTGGGGTGTACGATTTATATTTTAAATTCGACACATTTTTTCCAACCGTACAGTCGATGAAATATCCAGTGTAAGTTCACAAGTTCACAATAACTCGCAATAGATACTCATACTTGACTATTATACCACAACTGGATATTTTATTAGTATGACAATTGCAATTTTAATTTCGACACTAATAGTTTAAGTATTCTTCCAAATACTGAGACGTTTTGTTAATTTTACACTCTTGGATTACTATCTTCGACTAATTTTCGCGACATGAAATTCAGCAATTGATTGATGTATGTATTACAATATCATTAATTTGTGAAATCTCAGTGATATATTAAAGGAGATCCGAAATGAATAAATAGAAACATACGGCTTAATTTAAGATTTAGCCTGTATTAGTCCAAGAAAAATGCATTATCTTCAAGAGAAAGTATTCACGTAAAGTAAAACTATAAGGGTTGCGACCAATTAGGGAGTAGACGCAAGCGGGGGTGGTACTCCTGCCGTCGCGTTGCCAAGAAACGGCGACTGTAGGCTGTAAAGGATCGCCGTTAAGAGAATTTTAGGGTAGTGGGAAGAAAGGGGAGTAAGAGACCGTACGCACTTTTATTGATTCAAAACCGACGTTACTCTCTAAATAATCTATTGATTAGCCTGCAACAATCGAACATGGATTTTTATCATTTATCGTCTCCTTATGCGATTCTATCTCGTTAAAAAAGGCTCGGAAAGACATTCGAAAGTGTTTTTCTTTTGCGAATGATTGCCTGAACGCTCTTTGAAGTATCCTTTGAATTCGCATACGTTAAATACCCCTTTGGATTACATAAGAGAAACCTCTAAATGTTAACTGACAAAGATGCCTGTGACGTCAATTCGCATTCTAAAGAAGAAACCTTTTCTGACTTTCGAAAAAGGATTTGCGGCAACCTATGTTCCGGTGTCCGCTCGATTGTGAATTAATCGCACACATTTGTCAGGGAACGAAAGACGTAAATCTGAGGATATAAATTTACGTCACATCCTTCACATATCTACATTATTTAAAAAAGTACAGTCTTAATATATAGTTTTTTTTTTATTATTATAATACCTAAACGAGTAATTCAATTGTCTGTTTATTCCTGTTCACTCATCTTAGATTGTGCATCAGAAACAAGAAAATACAAAATAAAAGTTTTTGCAAAATATGTGTATTTCTAAGATAATATGTTTCAACGAAACAATACTTACACAAACAATATAGCCGATTTGTCAAAAAAAAAAAAAAAACATCTAGAAATTAATTATAACAGATTATGATATTTTTTTCTTTCAACTGCGTGCAAAGTTTTGCGTGTATCCACTAAAAGAGAAGCTATACCTATAATGTTGAATAAATTACTGCCGTTACGTGTATATAATAAAGATACGTAAATTGTAATGTGACCTATAATTTGTGTTTTCGTTTTCACTGTTTATTTATAAATACGGCTCTCTTTCCGTTTTAGTTCGGGAAAAACGGTTCACAACCAAGTAAAACACGCATACACGCGCGCACACACATTGTATCTTTAAAAAATACAGAAATCTTTGGTTTCTTTAATTTAAAAATTATAATCTTTATGTTACTATGTACATTATTATTATATAATTTGAAACACTAACTCTGTTCACTTAGAATATCTCCGCTATTTTTAGAAATATGAAATAATTTATTTACTGAAACTAATACAGCATCAGGAAAGGTATAATATATTATTAATAATCTTCCTATGAGTGGAGACGCTTCAAAAATTTCAATATCATCTCCATTTTTTAAATGGAATTATGTGATTTTTTACGTAGTATGATTTTTCTAATTATTCTGCATAAGTATTAAGCTAGAGGTATAAGAAAAATCGGTGTAATTTAAATTACGAGACATTTTATACTTTATTCTGGCATATTTTGACATAAAATGTTGAATATCTTGTAAAACTGTTAATATTTTGATAAATATACTTTAATACTTTTATGTGAACAAGATAATGAGATGAATTAATTAGTATAAAGAAAATACATATAGTTGCTTCAAAAAAATATACAAAATGGATATTTTTATAGATAAGCGACTATATTATTTTCTTTACACCAATTGTGATTCACCTAATGAGGTGAGTAATGACTCGATTCATAAAAAAAATAATAGTTTACGATAATATTTAACATTTTATGCCAACATGTGACAGAATTAAGTATAAATATTTCGACTCTGAGCCTTTTTATCTTATACATTTTATAAATATTTCAACCACTATTTATTTTTCGATACTTTTATCTTAATGTTTTTATACGTAGAATAACTAGAGGAATCATATATTACGTAAAAAAAGATTATATAAATTCATTAAAAATACGTTGACCCCTGAAATCTCTGAAACGCTTTCAGTCATAGAAAAATCATTAGTAGGGTATTATATACCCCTCTTGATGCTGTACAACATTAGAGTAAATAAATTATTCCATATCTCTAAAAATAGCGGAAGTATTCCAGGTAGACAGAATTAATGCTCCCCACCTTGGATATTTATAATTAAAACTAAGTTACGTTGGCATTAGCAATGGATCAAAATATGGTCTACAAATCCTTACCCCTGAAAAAAATTCCGGTGAAAGCTACAAAAGTATACAACTAAGTTACATATAATTATACAGGGTGCATTTCAATATATGAAATTATAAGTTTTATTTATTATTTTATAAAATGCTACATGCTCTTTTATCTTCAACATAAAATATACATGACGTTATAATTTGTAATACCGTGACTATCTTATCCCTAAAAGTTAAGTTTAAGATAACTGATGCATATGTTATAATATTTTAATAATATTAAATTAAAAAAAATTTTCTTTTTAATTTTGATTACATTACTTTAAGTTTTATAGTGAAACGCTTATACCAAATGTGCCATTAAAAAATAACAAAAATAAAGTATGCTTTTTGCATTTAAAAAACTATGATTTTTTTTTATTAGAGTTTACATTTTTCATAATTGTTCTGTATTCTTATTCCATATCTTCCTTTCTCCTCTTCAACTCCTTAACTATCTCTTTCCACAATTTCCTTGAGGTATTACCTTTCACAAGATCTAAATCTTCATTTCATAACTTTGCTCCGTATATTACCTTCTCCATGCATATCTAAATATAATTTGCAAGAATTTTTTATGTGTCTTCTTGCTTCTGATGTCGCAGTCTGAGATAATAGTGCAGATGAGAGAGAAAAAAAGGCTCAATTATTAAAATTTGACTGTTCGAAATTATGACCATGCAAATTCACAGCCTTATTGACGAATGTTCCTTTCGATCTCGACATTCTGATAAACATGAGTACATGCACGCCGATAAAGTCGTTGGCCTCAAAGTCAAAGAGGCGGTACATCGTAGACGCGTAGGTGGAGAGCCGAAGCTTTATGAATGAACTCTCGCGTAGTCAAGAGTGTGAGTGAATGGAGGAGGATCCAGTAACCTCACCTCACGTGCGAGCGACATGTGTGGGAGGGCAAGTTGAGAGTGGTAGGGAGAAGAGAGGAACACAGAAAGAAAGAGAGAGGAAAAAGCGCGGGAAGCATCTGAGAGAGAGAGAGAGAGAGAGAGTGAGGGAGGGAAGTCTTTGGATTCGGAGATTGTTCATGCAATCATCTCATATCTACCCTCCATTTACGCTAATCTTACTGAATTATTTCGATAGTATAACGGCCGACGGATATTTTTGATATTTCCCAAATTATTATCCGTACATTTACATTTTACTCCATATACATAAGGTAGAAATGATAAAAAATGTGTTTTAGTGCATGAAAAATCTAAAAATTTAGATAGATACCGAAAATAATTTGTCGGACCATCAAAGTAATAGAATAGAATGTTGAAACTTTTTACAACGTTGCTCATCACACCTGATAAGATTGCTACGTGATTATTTTAACGACCCAACAAAATTGCCTTCAGTATTTAGCCAAATTTTTAGATACTTTAGCAAAGTAATCTATTCCGCGTAATCATTTTACGCGTAATTATACTCTCACGAGTTAACGTATATATATATATGTGTGTATGTATATGTTTCTCCATTAAGTCCAGGATTCCTGATCAGTCAGTACCTGGGCATGATGCAAGATCCCGAGAATAGCACTCAACTTGACGCACCGCAGAGGATGTTTTCTATGTTCGACCCGACGACGACTGGATTACCGCCGATGACCCAGGAACAGCTGATCGCTGCTAATCAAAGAATGGGTATGGCTCTACTATCAGCCGCAAGACTTCCCGTATCGTTACACGCCAGCCTTGCCGTGTCTCCGTCGATCTACCCGTCTCCGCAGGATCTCTTCGGGAGTTGGATACCGCGAATCGCATCTTCGCCGCCTTCTCCTCTTCGCCCACTGCCAGAAGTTTCACCAGCCCCCAATATGAAACCCTCGTCCCGGCGCAATAACAATAACAACAACAACAATAATAACAATAACGACAACAGTGACAACAACAATATGAACGATGACGATAGGATCGTGAGGAGAGGTCGTGCCGCGAAGAGGAAACCCACTAAATCGAAAGTAGAGGCTGCGACGGAAGGTGCGGACCCGATCAGTCCTTCGATCAGTCCTGAGACGACGAAGGATAGCAAAGATAAGGTCTTCACTTGTGGAGTGTGCCAGAGATCTTTCGGATACAAGCATGTGCTCCAGAATCACGAACGCACGCATACGGGTGAAAAGCCTTTCCAGTGCAGAGAATGTCAGAAAAGGTAAGCCTCCGCAATCGATCGTCTTTTCTCGCGATTTCTCCAAATTACGACAGATAAAAATCTTCGCGAAACAAATCATCATGTAACATCAATTTAAAGAGACGACGTTTTATGAGAGAAAAAGTGTTTGATGTTTGTACCTGTAACTGCACGATAAAGTAATTATCGCTAGGCGCTCTATTTATACAATATATATGTAATATATATATATATATATATATA